CCTTATTCTACGTGCACCAGCAGGCAGATATTGTACATCTCTGCTTCGTTCGAAGAGGATTCGAGATCGTGTTCGTTACTTTTTCGATGCTCCTCTCGAAACATGGTGACGCATCCCAATATTCAAACTGGCTGCACTCAAATATTTGGTTTATTCATTTTTTCGCATATCGTTTGTTTATCTCTTCTTTTCACTTGTTTCTACTTATTCGTTTCCTTCTTCATTTCCATATGCTTTTTTTTGCACGTTCGTTTCTCTTTTTTATTCGTACTGTTCGAATTTCTTTTGTTTTTTTCTTTACTCGAGGATTATTGTATATCGTAGTATAATGTGTCAAATCAACAGGAAGATGAAATTTAACGCAAGAATTGACAAGTTGAACGTGAATTTATATTAATAATAATAAAATAACGTATTCACTTTATATAAAATAAACAATACGTTAATAATATTTTAACTTACTTCAAAATTGTTCAAGATATAATATATTTCGTAAATTAATGTTGGCCAATTGATATTAGATTTTATCATTATTGATTTACAACACTTATTCTAATTTTCAAAAATCGGGGAGTTTGATATCGTACAGCGTAAGTTATTTCAACTAATAAATATTTTAATTTACTTCAAAATTATTGATATTAGATATTATTATTATTGATTTACAACACTTGTTCTTACTTTCAGAGTTTAGATCCTTGATTGTTGGATTTTCCACAAGAGTTTGATATCGTACAAATGCAAGGATAAATCCTCGGATGAGTCAAGAAAGTGGGAAGATAACGGTTCTAGAATCCGGGAAGTTGCAGCGCCAAGATGGAAACATATGGGTTATAATATTGAAACCGATTTCCAGATCCACACGATGCCACGAAATCGCCGTGTAATCCAGCTATTAAACGTGTTTCCCAACAATTAAGCTGTGTATTCCCTTGTCGCGTGCAATTCGACGGATTAAAGAGCTCGATAATTAAGTGTTTTCTGCAAAACTCGCGCCCCATTTGTTCCATCCGGCAGGGAACGAGCCAACCGAAGCATTAAATCTTTCTCGCCTCTTTTCTCGAGGAAAGGTGACAATGAATTTAAAGAGAATAAGGGAATAATCCAGTGGAGTGATACCCATATTACATGTGGTCAGACATGCGCCAGAAATCGGTTAAATTCATTAAAGAGAATTCTCAGTTTATTCATTCTTCTTGTGTGTAACTCTTTTCTCTTTTTTTTCAAATTTTTATCAAATTTTTTTTTTAGAAAAGATATGAATCGTGCGAGGTTACGTTTCATCGGATGTAAGATGAAAATAGAGGAATGATAATTTTAGTGGAGTGGAGTTTTAATACAAGCGGATATGCCTTTAATAGTATTGTATTTTTTTTCCAATTTTAAAAATTTTTGGGTTTGTTATTGTTATCCTTTTTTCTTTTTAATAATAATATAAATTTGGTGAATATTCTTTTCTCAATTTTTTTTTTTTTTAGATTATAAGAAGATTTACAAAAGATTACAAATCATGATCCATTTTACCATGGAAAATACAAAGAAGAAAAATAATTTTAATAAAAGATGAATATGCCTTTAATAATATTATATTTTTTTTCCAATTTTAAAAATTTTTAGGTTCGTCTGTTTTTTTATTCTTTTTTTCTTTCTAATAATAATATAAATTTGATGAATATTCTTTTCTATTCTTTTTTCAATTTTTTTCATCATAAATTCAGATATAAATCATGGTTCATTTTATCATAAAAAATACAAAAATGACAAAAAATTTTTGTAGAAAATAAAAAATGAACATGAATTTTAATAATATTCAATCTTTGGATTTATTTGTTATTGATTAATTTTATTATTTTTCTTTTGTAATAATATTTTTGTAAAAATTCCTTTTGCAACTTTGTAAATTTTAACAATTGATCAATGAAAATAAGTGTTTTTAATGCAAACTGAATACGAATTGATCTGCTAATAATTTTCGCATTTAATCTTCCATAATTAAAATTTATTTATACAAGAGAATATATTATACATTTAAATTTTACATCGATTTAAATATAATTGATTTCTCTAAATCTGGGAACCGAAATCTGCTAATTGGATAATTCTTGTGAACGGAATTAGGATACAAGAAGTGTATCGAAAACCATTGAATTTTCAGGATATTTCCTGAAAATTGATGGATTTCAGTGTTTTGTAATGTTTCTCGATATCTTTTGTTAATTATTCTGCGAAATAATGAAGATACAAAAAGCGAAAAATTCTAAACATTGGGTGAATCGAACAAATTTTTGAATAGAATATTTTTTAAAATTCATAAAAATTTTGAATAATTTATAAACCGTGTAATAAGAAAAAATAAGATCCAGATTCAAAAGAAGTGATAATAATTCTGTATATATTCATCGAAAATAATGTGAATTTTATGGAAAATATGTGAAACAAATGTGGAAAATATGTGAAACAAAATTTTGGAAGATGTTTACTGAAACTTGGATGAAATATTGGCCAAGTTCGTAATTTTCTTTCTTTAAGAAAACTTTGAAGCTATCTTAATCCGCTATCCTGTAAATATTTTCACCCAAGTTTGAAGAAGTTTCATAAATTTTCTTTTTTTATAGGAGACAAATCGATTTTTCGACCATTTTTAGACAATTTTTAACTGCAATTTAAATTTGTAACTTCAAACTGTCAGAAATTTAATTTTCTGTATTTATTATTGAAATATTTTGATTAATTTTTCTATAGAAAAAAAAAATTCAAGCCGTATATAAGCGAATACAATGAAAATATGAAAATTTAATTTTTCGAATATTTGTTACTTTTAAATTTTTCTTTTTTTAATTTTACTTTGTTGTTTTATGTTTCGAAAAAAATAAATTTCGTATAATATTTGAAATCTCTTTTATTATTATTTATATTGTTATATATTTATATTGTTTAATATCATTATATAAAGCACATACTAGAAAATATGATATGTTTTATTTCAGATAAAAAAAATATACATTCCAACTTTTCCCTTGTAGTCATTGTTTTCATACAACAAGCAAAAGAAATCAATCTTTACTATCTTCGATCTTTGAAATCGAACAAAAGCTTTTCGTTCGATATGGCAGAGTATACGAGTTAAAACTCGAAATAAACATTTGGATAGCAAACCATATTTGTGGAAGAAGAAATTGAGGTTTGTAAGAGTTGCGCAAACTGAAGAAATGAGTCCGAAGGAAAATCGTGGAATGGAGTAAATGGAAGTGGAAATAAGCCGAAATTATTTAACCGATCGCGTTTCAATTAACTTTCATTAAGATCGATTGTCATTGAATTTGCACACCGATATTTCATTAATTTTGCGTCTATTAAGTAGAATAATTAATATGTTATATATCAGTATTAAGAAATATTGAATTTGATTGATCAGAACAAGGATTTAGACATAGCTTGATGTCAACACTGAGAAATCAATTTGAAATTAATGCAATCTTAATTTTGAAAAATATAAAAATATAAAAATATAATATTAATACTAGAATGAATTTGAGTATATGCAATGTCAATACTGAAGAATGGGACAGAGTGCAGTCAATACTAAGGAATGGATTTTAATATAGTGCAGTATCAATATTGAAAAATAGAACTGGACACAGTATAATATCAATAATGAGAAATGGAATTGAATATAGTGCCAATATTAAAGAATGGAACAGAGTCAATAAGGAATGGATCTCAATATAATATAATGCCAATATTGAAAAATATAACTGAACACAGTATAATATCAAATGAGATATGGATTTATAGTGCAATGTCAATACTGAAAAATAGAGGGAAGTGTCAATACTAAGAAATGGATTTCAATGTAGTGTAGTGCCAATATTGAAAAATAGAACTGGACACAGTATAATATCAACACTGAAAAATGGATTTCAATATAGTACAATGGCAATACTAAGGAATAGACTTTAATATAGTTCAGTGCTAATATTGAAAAATAGAACTGGACACAATATAATATCAATACTGAGGAATTTGAGTATAATTTAGTCAATACTAAAGAATGGATTTTAATATAATGCAATGCTAATATTGAAAAATAGAATTAGATACAGCATAATATCAATACTGAGGAAAGGATTTGAATATAATGCAATGCCAATACTGAAGAATGGAATAGAGTGCAGTACCAATTCTAAGGAATGACTTCAATATAGTGCTAATATAAGAATAGAGGTTTAACATTACAACATAATGTTGTAGGGAGGAACTTGAAACAATGTCAACAATGAGGAATAGACTTGGATCCTAGCTAATACTAAGGAATGGATCTAAACATGGCACAGTGTCAATACTGAGGAATGATCCTGAATATAGTGCAATACCAATATTGAGTTATAGACTTGGACATGGCACAGTGTCAATATAGAGAACTTGAAGACAGTTCAACATTCATTGAAAAAGTTACTAGTGTGAAACACCAGACCATATTTTAATTTTCTAAAGTAATAAATAATGCACTCGGTTGAATAGAACTCATCTATCAAAAAATAGAATCATCTGTCAAGTGACACAGGTGTCCAGCAGGCATAGGTATTTCAATGAATACCTATGTCACCTCGAGAAAGAGGCAATGGCGCAATGCCAATACTGGACGAAGCTCAACATACTTGGAGGAGTGTCCAGCGTAGGATAGAGGCGTATCTTAGTACAAAATATGGGATCGATCTGTCGCTGTTGGCGATTGTCCATAAGATGGGATGCTCGACACTGAAAGGTCACGGAAGTTTATAACCTGCTCTTGCGAAAGCGAAGAAAATTGGATGACGGGGCAGAATTTGGATTAGGAATGATAATTTAATAATTTATTTTTCTAGAAATTTTGAGTTGAAAATTAAAAAAATATGAAAATAAATTAAGAATTAATTAAACATGGATCACAGTAGAAATAAAAAATAACGAATAATAAGTTTTATTCATGTTATTTATTTATGCTATCGAATTTAATTAATTAAAAGCTGCCAGACTTTTAGAAGAATTTTATCCTATAAAAGAAATTAATCCAGTTATTTCCAACAAAGTAACAATTGTCCTCGATGATTCAATATTCGATTTCATCGGAAATAAACATTTCACAAAGATTGGCGCGAATAACAACGAAGAAAGAAGGAAACATTGTATAAGCTGCCGTATTTCCTCTTTAAATTTACCTGCCAGGTAAATTCCTTTTCCTTTCTTCTACGTTCTCTATTCTACGCTGTGCAAAAGGATTCCAAGTCCTCGACACGTTCGATTTATGGTAAATCCGATCCACCATTTTCTTCGTACTTCATTTCAGGCGGACTTAAAACGAAATCATCAATATTTATTACACTAGATTCTAGAAACGTATTCTAGAACTTGAATGTCTAAAAATATTATTGCTTTTAAATCAGATAGAACGATGTTGAATATCTTTCTTATTTAATTGTATAATCCTTCTGAATATTAAATTTCCGTGTTTCTAGACATTTTATTTCTATGAAATGAAACTGAAATTTTGTTTTCAATTTAAAATAACGCGCGCAAAAAAAAAAAAAAAAAAAAAGGAAAAAA